AAGTAGACCTTTAAGCGAAATGATAAAGTCTGCAATTTATATAATAAATTTAAGAAGTCTAACTATCATTTCAAAAATTGGTAACTTTCTCATTTTTTTATGATAATTTGTGTGAAATCATAAGAATTATTAACATTATTACTAATAATCTTATAATTTTTTTCTTTTTTTTTTTAAAAAAAAAAAAGACAAAAGAAAGTTTGATGATTTAATTAAAAGTGAAAATAATGGTAAATATCTTTTTTTTATTTTATTTTTCATTTTTATACTTTATAATTAAAATTTATGATCTTTAGATTATTTAATGGAGCTTGATATTGGAATTGAAACAAATACTAGCATATCAAATAATAATTGTAAGTAAACGAATAATGTTTATTGTTAATAGTGTATTACTTGTATCAAAGCTAACATTGCATTTATATTACTTAGATTACATTACTAAAGAAATATGTAATTTCTTTTAGTTTGGAATAGTTGAATTTAATTACGATTGGTTCCGTATTTAATTATGTTATTAATTTGGCCCGACTATAAAGATTGATAGAATATTAGAGTATGGTACTCGAACATTTCGGAATGCTAAAATAGAATGAACTTCTTCATACAGTATATAATTTGTTTATAAATAATTTGTTTATAAAATATAATTCGTTTATAACATATATATTTTTTCATAAAATATTACTTTATATGGTTTGGTTACTTTATTTAAATTAACAAAAAAAAGAAATGTCAAATAAAATAATCAATTATGTGCATGCACAGGTTATAATAAAAAGGAATATGATCGAAAAATAGTTGAATGCCAATTATGATATATAGCTGAACACTGTTTGTGTGCTTCTTGAGCAGGGGATATATATAAAGATATCATCTGTTGAATTACACAACTAGAAATTTGATGAGGGCATCGGCATATTTTATAATAGTTAGTAAACATCCTATCGTATATCCCCACGATGTTGTAAACAATTGGGAACTGAATATATTTTGTGAAATGATTAGGTGATATAATTTAATAATGAATGTTGACAACGACAAATCTATAATATATATGATCGCAGCAGGAGAATACTTTTGCATTATCTTTTCTCTCAATCACGAATAACATTATTTGGATGGTGTTCATGTTTTAGAACAAACCATTCTTATTGAACCTACTATTAAGCTCACTCATTATCAATAAACACCCAAAGATATTACGAAAAAATTGAGGGGAAATTCTTCGACCATGTATAACATTTGGAATCCCTTTGAGATAGCTTTTCTTCCAAATATGGATACCCAGAGATTCTAAATATTAGTAACAATTCCAACTATTTTTTTTTTTTCGTTTCTATTTTTTTTTTACTCTTTTAGATCTTTAGTTCTTAGGCGGAGGACTTGGAAAGAACAGTGCTTCTCCTGACTTCCACTTTATTGTTTAAATAGATGTGGGAATCGAAAAAATTAAAAAATAGTTAATAAATAAAAGAAATGAAAAACTTTTACTCAGCTATGTTCTAAATTGAAGTGTTTTATGTAAAATAAAGGAGACAGATATACTTGAAAGATTTTTCACAAAAATTTTGTCTTTATTAGGTAAAAAAAAATGATATTTTGTTTAATTTTTAATCATCCTTTTTATTCTATTTTATCTTTTTCGTTGTTTCAGAGGAAATCTTAATAGAAATTCGACATGCTATTTATTTAGATGCTCTATAAAAAATTCAATACGATCACAAATGACAATACAACAATATGCTATCTATGGTGAGATTTGTCGAGTAATCAATAAAGTAATGCGTTTTTACCACGAGAAAAAAAAAGACCCGTTGCATAGAAGATCGGCTTTGCTAAACTTAATCAGGGAAATTTTAAATCATCACGTGATTTATGATGAGGCTTCGATTCAGAAAGTTCCTGTTCCAAGACAGCAATATAAGATATTGGTATAGATAGTTAGTGATTTTAGCGTACACATAATGGATTATTCAATAATTTAATAAATAATTCGGTATTGCAATATAAAAATTTTCTTTTTATATTGTACAAACGGACCAAAACCGACGTGGAGATAAATAGTCCTATCGTGTCAAACACGCCAGCCCATAGCTCCTGAATGAAATGTGTATAGAAAAATTATTAACTTTTATTTACATGTGATTCTTTGGATCGTTCATTGTTTACAGATGCTACCGTTGTCTCCTCAGAAAGTTCTATCCAATTTCTTTCTCTCTGCTATCACCTTCACCACATCATCAATATACCGATGCACAATTTGAGCAATGCAGTTAGACATGTTGCTACTATTGAACAAACGAAAATGGTTGAAGTACATATATTGAGTAGCATCTTTGCAAAAAAACACGTACCATTATGTTTTCCCAAGTATGGGAATCGAACGTTCTTTAGGCGGTGATGTCAAATGAAAGCAATTTGATAGGGTTATCAGAGACATGATCGAGAATATTATTTAAGGGAGTGACTACTTCGCATGGAACAGGATTGGATCTGACTTCAGGCGAAATTTCCTAATGATATGTGCAATTGTAGTTACATTCCGAAAAATGCCCTTAAGGTATTTATTTTTTCAAAGTATTTATTTTATTAGTGCGTTAGCTATATTTCTTTGGAACCTTCTCGTTGTTAGCAACAATTTTCATAATGCGCTTCGCGTTTGATAAAATACCTGAAGGGTATCCCGGGGGTGTGTGTTAGTAATTCGCGGGTGAGTTTTCAAAAAGTATATAGTATATTCATGCTTGACACATATCGTGTATATTTGTAAAACGCTTGAATTAGTTCTTTAATTATGATGTTCTATTTATAGTAATTATGCCGTCTAAAATAGGACATTTTAGCTATATTGAATTTACAATAAGAAGGATTTCTTGATGAAACTTGAATTAAAAAAAATAGTTCTTAATTGTAATAATTTGAAGAGTGAGATTTATTTGTTCCGCAAAAATTTCTAATAGCTCTCGTGTAAAATTATTACCGTATATTGCGGCCGGGTATGAGTAGGGATACTATACATGAGGGGTACTATGAACGTATACGGTATAAAGTATAAATCCGGTTTAAGATGCAATTTATTCAAATTCATACTTGACATTATTAAACTTGTTGTTTCGAGCTTATTCATAAAAAAAACATGACTGCATACTAATTACCATATATTTGATTGACCGTATGTTTTATTTTGTGAAACCTAATAAATTTATATGGTTATATCGAGCCAAAAATTTCATTTTACAAAATTATATACATATTATTTATTATTTAGAAAGAAATAATTTTTTCTGTTTAATACAAATATTAATTAATCTTTTTGCAAGAATTTATATATAATAGAAAATCGGGATAGAAGAGGTACCGTAGTATGGTGAAACTATCGAGAGTCCAATTATACTAGGAAAAAAAATGAAGAATTTGTAAAAGTTTTAAATGCCATTATTTTAGGTAATTTGTGTAAAATGCAAAAAGTTACGAAAACAGTTTAAATTTTAAGTATAATGTGATAGTAATACATCTATAAATTACACGAATTTGTATTACTAATAAATTAATTAGTAATAAATTAATTACATTATTTAGATCAAATCTTATTTTATGGTGTAACTTTAAATATGTAATGAATACAATTTTCCGTGTTTTTTTTTCTAGAGTTCGGACATGGCCGAATGACATATGAAAATAAAGATTCAGATGTTTATATTACATAATTAAGTTTATTTCCTAAATAATTTTAAACAAGTTTCATGTATGAAAATGTGAAGACTGAGTTTAATTAAATGCGTTTAAAGAGAATGAATCAAATTTGCCCATATGTTGTTTACTTCGTAATAAGGTATTTCCGGTGAAATGCTGTCTTCAAATAATTATCGTGAAGTTATTATTTGAAAGTTCCTATTTTACTATTTATAGGTCAAATATTTTCTCTTTATGTCCATATGTGAAATGAATGAAATATTATTATATTTACCAATCATTTAATTTCTATTAAGCGACATGACGATTCAATAACATATGTCAGGAAAAGTTATCTTCGTATTGGCCATGCTAATTAATAATTAATCTTGTTGATTTACTAAAAATATAATTCGTTCATTGACTTCATTCATAGATGATCTTTTGACGTAATCGCGTGAGATTATTTAAAGTTAGTAACACTAAATGATACAATTCATATCCTAATTTTTATCTCTGTTGTTGATTTTTGAACAGTTCGAAATTCCTGATAACAGATAACAGATAACAGATAAAGATAACAAGTTGATAATTAATTAAACTTGCATGTAAGAAACCGGAAATCGTTGGAGAGTCCGAAGCGGTATCGCAAAGTAACACAAAAATAAAAATTTTAAACATATTACAGAAAAAGAAACGTATCGTAAATGGCGACGGGAGTACAAAAAAGGAAATTAATAGCAAAATTTTAGAAGGGGAAATGTATCAGCATAACAGTCCAACCGTAAGTGTCCTCAGGTCCTCAGCCAAAGCTTTGGACAAATAAATTTTAAAAAAAAACATATAAAAGTAGCTAAAAATTCTTCAGAGCTGAACTCTTTCATCCTCTCCTATTAAAAAAAAACTACATTTTTGTTGATTGTAAGTTTTTCATTTAATTTCCAATAAAATCAATCAAGTTTGTGTTTAAGAATTTAAAAATAGTTGGTTTGTATTTTCATTCTGCATTATGGAATCACTTCCGCGCAAAATGTGGTTGACTTGACCCCTCATATATACAGTATCTATGTAGGTCAAGTCCGTGCAGCTCGCAACACGTTATAGCTAATTAGCTAATTCCGCTATACGTGTCTGTATATATATAGTTACTGCATAAGGGTTGAGAATAATATCGTAGACTCACATGATCATGTCATAGGCTGTTTGATCGCGTACTCTGTCGGGCAGACGCAGATTGAATATCAACACAACCATTTATTTATCAATTTTTAATGGTGTAATTTGTATAACTAACTTAAATTTTTTTTTTTCCAGAATGTCTAAACATGTCTTATCGACAAGATGGGGATCTATATTGTATGGATTTTATTGAAAATGAGCCAATAACAAAGTCGAATATTGTCTTTGGAAAATGTTTAAATTGCGAGAAGAAACGAAATAGCGTTGGCTGGTGTAAAGATTGTGAAATTAATGCTCTAAAAGATAATTTTAAAAACTGGACGAGTGGAAATATTAATATGGATAATTTTATTAAACACACACAGTTGCACGCGAATGAAAGTGTGGATTACTTGGAATATGTTAGTTTCGACCAATTCGATCTATTGGAAGACACGAATAAAGGAGGCGCATTTAGCACAATTTATTCAGCAATTTGGATGGAAGGCCCTAGATGGGTGTGGGATGAAGATACCGAACAATGGACACGTAATGGACTTATAAAAGTTGCTCTTAAGAGACTTAACAATTCACAAAATATTAGTGAAGAATATTTTAAACAAGTAAGATATAATTTTTAAATCGTTTTTATTATCACTGAGTTTTTAATTAACATAAATTTTTTATAGCTTTATAAATATCATCGATGTTTACAAAGTAGAAGTACTGCGGATTTTTATGGAATTACAAAAGATCCTACTTCTAACTACATGTTCGTTATGAAATATTATGAGAATGGAGATTTGCATTCATATCTTGATGAAGCACAAGGAATGCTATGTTGGAGAGATATTGTAGATATGCTTTGGGGGATATCTGGTGGAATTGAAAATATTCATGAAAGTGGATTAATTCATGGACATCTTCATGGAGGCAATTTATTGGTTGAAGATGAACCAGGATCGGCCGAAATATGTATCACGGATGTAGGGTTACACGGTCCGATTGATAAAAAAGATACAAATGAAATATATGGAGTTCTTCCTTATATCGCTCCCGAAATCTTGAAGGGAAATCCACAAACAAAGGCTTCAGATATTTATAGTTTCGGAATTATCATGTGGACTCTTTCTGCAGGGTTTCGTCCATGGTACGATAAACCGCACGATCTCAGATTGGCTAGTGAAATTTGCTTTGGTCTTCGTCCTGAAATTATTGATGGGACTCCAAAAGTTTACATTAAATTAATGACACAATGTTGGCATCCTGATCCTTCAAAACGTCCCACTGCATCTAAATTATCTGAATTATTAGGAAATTGGTTAATTGCTATATGTGATGACCCAGATCCATCCGAAATATCCGACCAATTTAATGTTGCTGAAGAGAAAAAATTCTCAGATTCAGAACGAAATAAATTTCGACAACCAAAAATCCATCCCCAAGCTTTTTATACGAGCAGGCTCTTGTATTTTCCCGAATTAATTAATATTTTTGACGATTCCGAAATTCCTCGCGAAAGGAAAATCTAGTTTGACGACAATGATTACGTTCAGACTTTTTCTTTTCTTTTTTTTTTTTGAATCTATAGATTATGACGAAAATGTAATAATTATAATTGTAATTAATGTTATGTATATAGATTATCGTTTTAGAAAAAATTATAGTACGTTTTACAAAAAAAATTTAAATTCAATTTCGATTACCTTTAATGTTGCCTCGTAAGAAAATTCGTTAAACGTGATGTGAAAATCTGGTATAACTCGGGAAAATTGTCATATTGCGGTAAATTGCATAATACTTGTATACAAAATATCTTCGTTAAATTAAATAAAAATTGGCGCTGACAAACACAAACTTTTTTGGAGTTCTTATAATCAAGTTTGACCATAATAGTTTTTACTTTTTAAACAAAGTTGATTGTTTCAATAGAAACTCGTACAATATTACTAGAAAAATAATAAATATAGTTCAAAAAATTTATATACAAGTAAAATATTTCGTAAAAAAGTTAACTACTAATAACTATACTGCTTTTAATAATGAATACACATGCAAAACATGCAAAAATAAAATTATTAATGATTTTATTAAATTTACACATTCAAAAATATATGGTAAAATGGAATTTGTTCTCTAAGAAAAATTTAAAGATGTACAATTCATTACTTAGTAAAATTTATAAAGCTGATGGACCACGTGATTGGAGCACTCCCTGGTAAAATGAAACTTAGTAATTCTAGTAACATCAATTCTAAAGAACTAAATGAGGTGCGTATTTACTATCTTGTATTACAAGTCATAATTTAATATTTAATACCTCATTTGTTTAGCTAACGATATTTTATAATTATGCTACAAATAATAAAAATAAAAAAGGCTACCCATATTACGATCACTTTCATTATATTAATAAATATTTTGGAATTACTCAACATCCTATTACCCAAAATTTTATGATAATTACAAAATATTGTGAATATGGAGATTATATAGCTAATGATTTTTATAATATTAATTGGTTTAGAAAGTTAATTAAATTGCAATACATTATAAATGGGCTTAAAAATATGTATAATGCAAATTATTCATCGAGATTATCATAGTGGAAACATCTTTGTAGCAACAGATGAAACTCCAATAATAGGAGATTTGGGAATAAGTAAATCTGCGACTGAACCATTAAATGATGATGATGATGAAATTTATGGCATTATTCCTTTATTTCCTTATGTTGCTCCAGAGATTTTTCAAGGACGAAAATATACTATTAAAGCATCAGATATATATAGTTTTGGTATGTGATTTAGTTTCATTTTCTAGAAGTATATAATAATATGTCATTTGTTTAGAATTATCAAGATTACACGTATAAGCTATCAGTATATATTAATTGCATCTTCAAGCTTTTTTTTTATTCAATTTCATTATTTGAATAAATTGAGATATTCTTCCATTTTAAATATAAATTCATAATATTATTTATCTTTACTAAAAAAGTTAACTTTCTCATCAAATGTAAAATTTCTGCCATATTGCTTAGAATTTTATCAGATTTATTATGGAAGTTGAACATGTAAGTTTTTCTTTAAAACTGAATCTATCACAAATAATAGTGAAACTGTGAGAGTCATGTTTATTTTTTTACTAAATAAAATTTTTTGACACTAGAGATGAATTGATTTCCTTATAATAGTATATATTACTTATCAAACTTTTGAGGTATCAAAATTTCATTAAACTTTCAATCAACGTAAGATAATGTGACTTTTACACGTCATCGTAAAGTAACTTGATTATATTTGAGTTACATATATAACTACATCGTCTGTTATACTATATACTCGAATCACATAACATTGCTTGATTTAATATAGTTCGATCATTAGGAATACTGCGGTGACAAAGATTTCAATATTAGATGTCTCGTAAAAATATCCTATTCCTAGTCATCCGCGCCATCTGCGGCACCATGATTAATACAAATTGTAAGTTTGGCTTTTTAATGAATATAAGTTTAATAAAAAAATAATATTGAAGAATAAGTCAATTAATTTTTGTTATATTAAGTAATAATTTTATTCTACTAACCTGAAAGTAAAAAATAATTATTCTATAATAATGAAATAATATATTATTAATTGTTTTTTTTTAAAAAAAAAATTCATGTCATTAAAATTAAAAAAAATAAAAATAAAAAATTGTCCACTCTTCAAAAAAGCGCCTCGCACTTTTACTTTTAGAGTTTGATGCACCTTGCACTATAACTTTATATATAAAAAATTTTATCCTGTGAATTATAAAACTAAATAAATTAATTAAAAAAATATATATATGTTTATATCATTAATTTAACGACGACGACCTTTTCGGAAACGTAAAATTAAATAGAAACCGAATCGGAAGAAAACAATTAATCCCATAAGTGCGAGCTAAAAAAAAAAAGAAAATATAAAATTTAATACGGATAAATCAATAAATCACAATATAACAAACAAACGTTATTAAAAAGATAAAATTACATACTGCCCACTCATTTAAATTAATTTTGGTATAACCATAATAATCTAATATATCTTGACCGGAGAGTTCACAAGTACCAGTTGAATTTACTCCAAAAATACATTTGCATTCTGGTTCATCATTACAGTTAAAAGTTAATCCAACAAAATCAGTTTGAATAATAGCTTCAAACGAATATTTTTGATAATCAATATGATGACACCATTTCAAAAATTCTGGTAAAGCGGATCTCCTTACTAAATATCCTGCAATTACCATATAAAATCCATTAGCAAAAGTAGTAATAGCTAAAGCTGCCACGAATGTAGGTATTGCAGCAGAAATAAATATGACCATAGATTCAGCTACAAATAAAGTTAAAAAGATAAATGCAAGGAAATTGATGGCATTATATATATTTTCATGTAAACCGATCATAGGATAAGCGATTATAGAAAATGATAAGGTAATAATCATTAAAAACGGTGTTGAAATTAACGTATTAGCTAAGACGTATGGACCAACAGAATAGAAACCAATTGAACGTTCACGCTGAAATACTAAACGTTCTTCTAAAAATCCTGGTATACCAGCTACGCTCATCAAAGACAAAAATGTGACAGAAAAGAAATGAGCAGAAAATCTATCCTCTATATTTTTTTGTTCAAGGCCAACTTTCCACCAGGTTGATCCCATAAGCAAGGCTAAACACATGTACATGGCTATTCTTATCCAATACATTAATATATTTCTTGTGGCATTTTTAAATGATCTCTTCATTAGGATCAAAGTTTGAGCTAAGAGACTACGAGCATATTCTTTTCTGGTTTTTATTAAAATTACTTCACCATGACCGCCTGATTTTGCAATTAAATCATCAATCTCCTTGTTGACGCCCCTTATATTTCTTTTTGAGAAAGAAATACTAAAACTCGTAATACGTTGTTCGGCTTCGGTTATATCATTCATAAAATCACTATTAACCAATCTTAAGTAATGGTCAGCAGGATTATTATAAGGAGGACAAGGGAATCCCAATTTCTCAAAATAGGTCAAAGCATTATCCCTTTCACCAAAATACAAAGTTTTACCATGTCCAAGCAACAATAATTTATCAAATAAAGCGTAAGTTTCAGGTGAAGGTTGATGTATACTTGCTACAACTGTAAGTTCATGTTTCTTTGCCATACTAACTATCGCGCTCATAACATTATACGCAGCGGCAGAATCTAATCCAGTTGTTGGTTCATCAAGGAAAATTACTTTAGGTAAAGTGATAACTTGTGATGCTATCGCACATCTACGTTTTTCACCACTATTTATTCCTCTAACAAATAATGTTCCTATTTTATTATCAGCTACCCTTTCTAACCCAAATTCACGTATTATATTTTGAACATGCGCATATTTTTCCAATCGTGAAAAGCTAGCCGGAAAACTATAATATTTGCGTGGTGAAAATAAGAGGACATGAATAACAGAGTCAGAATATGACATAATAATCTAATTTAATTAATTTACCATAAATCGGCAGCGAATTTAATATTTTCTCGTACAGTAAGAACACCTAATATCAAATAAATAATTATCAAATAACTGAAAGATTATAAAAAATAATTTCTCATAAATAAATATAAACATACCCATTAGAGAGTCATCTTGCGTTACATAAGTTGATACACATTTGACATCACCCGGTCTACCATTAAGATATACTATACCTGAAACATTTTTTGGATCTTTACGTCCAGCTAACATATCCAAGAATGTTGATTTACCGGCCCCAAGAGGTCCCATAACTATTTTAGAAATTAAAATGACTTAGTCAACACATATTATAAAAAAAAAAAAAATCATTATTAACAATTAACACTCACTGGCTAAGAATTCACCGGGTTTAACGATACCACTAACATTTTGTATAATCTTTTTATTTTTTTTAGTTTTCGGATCTACTATCTCATACGTTAAATTCTTCCATGCTAACGAAACTGGAACTTTGGAATTAAAAACTTCTTTTGTAGTACTATATTTATTGTCTAAATCTGTTGAATCTAAACTTATTGCATACTCAGTTCCATCTTTTTCATAAAAATCTTTCGGCATTGCAAAAAATTATTCTAATAAGAAATTAACTAGAAGATTGTTAATTAATGAAATTATTTAATCAAAAAGATATTTGATCGTATTGACTTCCATTTTATAAGTTTTAAATTTAATATAATAATCTTTATTTTTTCACTTAATTTAATGACTTTCACGTGCGAGTTATTATCTTTACATTAGTGTAATATACCGTAGATTTTAACATTAATGATTAAAAATATTAAATCTTTTCCATATAAAATTCTGGTACTAATTATACCTAATTATATATTACGAAGATGATGAAGATTATATTTACTGATTATAGGTTAGGTTAGGATTAAATCAAGGTTAGGAAACAATCACTTTATATAACGACGTTTGAATCTTGCTGTCAAATATGTAATAAATCAGTTTTATTTAAAAGGAGAATGAAAATTATATTGGCAAGATAAAATCATTTTTTAAAAGTTGCGGTATTTTTTTTTTCTTGTTTAAATTCATAAAGAAAATTATTTTTTGGAACGTAAGAAGAATTATTTTAGTTTTTTCACCAAAACCTAATTTAAAGAATAAGTTTATCAAATATATTAAAAGGAAGGATAATAAGAAAGATTGACGAAGATTTGTGCAATCACATGAATTTTAGACATGATGATCTAATTTATGAACTCTGCGTCAACCCTTTATCCACTCCTTGTTTTGCAGATCTCAATTAGGATTAATTTTGAGCTCAATTTAATTTTTCCAAATAAAGTTAACTTCCGCACCGACAATTAACTTACTGACAGTGATCTCCGACATGACAAATGCCAAGTAAATAACATTTGACTTTTTTTTATTACTCAGTGATTTTAGCAACAAACCCATTTAACCTACATTTGTTTCACCGACTATCATTTCACCGACAAAATGCCAAGCACTATAATAATTGTGATTCACAATAAATAGTATATTTAAAAATATATATATATTACTTGATAATTGTAACTATGTTATTGGTTATAAAAAATAAAGTTTGATGAATTCACTGTTGATAAATTGCCGATGAAATAAACTGACGGTAATAATCTACTTTATTTGTATTCCAAGACGCAGAATCAATTCCAATTAAAAATAAGGAATATCCATAATTTTTATGATATAATATTAATATAGTTATTGGTCAGTTATGCTGATTTTGATGGACTAATGATATTCAATAGTTATCTGTCAACTAACCGTCAACGGCTTACAGACCGTTTCATTTTCCCGACAGCCCAACGCTGGCCGTTTGATCACGTGTTCGTGCATAACTCTGCATAACTCTGGCCAAACCTGTTTGGCAAACCTGTCGGGCAAATGTCCTGCCGGGAAATCATCTGTCGGGAAATCGTGCCATAACCCTGTCAACAATCACTGGACCTAAATGATTGGTTGAACATTGTGTCACATTAGCTATTTTTGAAATTTTCTTTCAGAAAAAAAGCCTTCTTAGCCTTCCATTGTAGAATTTCTTAAATTATCTTATTCTAAAATTTCTTGTGATTTAAAAAAGGAAGTAACGTTTAACAGTATTTAGAAACTTTATAAGCTGAATCATTCAATGAATCAATGTTTCATTCACATTTCACAAAATGATTTATCGGAAAATCATTATTAGCATACCCCATTAGGTAAATAATCAAAGAAAATATGGGCCTCTATAGCTACCTTAACTTAAATTTTTTTTATAACTTGTTAACTCTTCAAAATCCTTGGTTTTAAAAAATTCTATCGCGTTATGGGTAACCCTTTAGATGATCTAAAACCAAACCTCAAGAAATGCTATTATTGCAAAAAACAAAATCCTTTAGAGGAAAGCCATAAAATTCGGAATAAATGTAGCTGTGACAGTTGTAGCAACAGAAAAGAACTTATTTTTATTTGTAATAAATGTTACAATGCAAAAACACAATTTACACCAAGTGGAAATGGAGTTATTGATGAATTTATAGTTGAAACATTAGATACAATGTATGGGGAAATGGAATTTGTTTCTTATGATAAATTCAAAGATTTAGAATTTATTGCCGAAGGAGGATTTAGTAAAGTCTATAAAGCAATTTGGGAGGATGGTCCAATAACCAGTTGGAATCGTGAAAAGTTTAAATATAATCGTCAAGCTAATAAGACAATAGCTCTCAAGGAACTTAATAATTCTAAAGATATCAACTCTAAAGAGTTAAATGAGGTACAGAATCTTATACTATTTGTTATTAAAATATAAATAATTAAATATATTTTTTTTTCATTTTAGATCAAGATATTTCATAGGTTGTGTAATTATACACATGATTACAATAAATACAAATACATTAATACATATTATGGAATTACTCAACATCCTGAGTCCGAAAATTATATGATAATTATGAATTATTGTGAATCAGGAGATCTTACACATTATATAGCTAAAGATTTTTTTAATATAAAATGGTATAATAAGTTACACAAGTTATGTGATATTATATCTGGACTTAAAAAAATACACTACGCAGATATTATGCATCAAGATTATCATAGTGGAAATATCTTTTTGGAAGCAAGTAGGACTCCGATAATGGGAGATTTAGGATTAAGTAAATCTGCGATTGAATCAGCAGATGATGAGAATAATGAAGTTTATGGCATTATTCCTTATATTGCTCCAGAGATTTTTCAAGGACAAAAATATACTAAAGCGTCAGATGTATATAGTTTTGGTATGATTATGTGGGAATTAATGACAGGTAGAAGACCATTTTGGGATAGAAGTCATGATACAGATCTTATAATTGAAATATGTGACGGTCTTCGACCTCCGATTATCACAAACGCACCTGAAGGCTATATTAAATTAATGAAAAAATGTTGGAATTCTGATCCAACTAAAAGACCAACGGCTAGAAGTTTACATAGTAAAATTTATGCTGTGTTAGGAAAGGAATGGAAATATAGGTATAGTCCAACTGAAGTAATAGTATCACCAGATATTGGACCTATACCAACAATTAATCCAAATGCTATCTATAAAAGTAGACCTTTAAGTACAATGATAAAATCTGAAGAAAATACAATAAATACTAAAAAAATTGGTACGATTATTTTCATAATATGTTATTGCTTTTACATTGTTACTAATGACTAATATAATCTTACATTTATTTTTTTTTAAAAAAAAAACAGATAAAAGGAAGTTTGATGAATTTTTCGAAAATAACGAAGAAAATGATGAGAATGGTAAAATAAAATTTTATTTTGTAATAATTTCATCATATGATAACTATATGTTAATTAACCATTTGTTTTTTTAAAAAAAAATATTATAGATAAAACCTCTAAAAAATTATGTGTATATGAAAACCATGGTAAGTATTTAAGTTTATTTGGAGATTATTTTTTTTTATTATAAAATATAATAATTCAATTAAATTTATATTGTTCTCTAGATTATTTGACAAAAGAATTTCGATTTAATATTGACAACAATGATATTGATAAAATTAATAAAATTGGTTATAATGGTAAGTAAATAGATATCGATTATCTAACAATGGCAATAGTAATTTTTAAACTTAATTTTATTCATAAATACAGGTTTATATATTACAAGAGAAATCGGATTTGATATTTAAGTTTCAAAATTCGGAGGTATATTAATATTTTAAAAAATTTTGGCTTGCATTCTACGTGTAGTTTTAGCGATAAAAATTATTTACATAAAATCATTTATTTTGCGTGAGATGAACAATACCGAAATTAAACTAATAGCTACAATGTTAATTCAAACGGCAATAATTTAACATAATGTTTCAGGGACATATTAAACTAATCATTGATTTTGTATTTCTGTAATAATTATAAATGTATCACGGTATAAACATTTTCGTAAAATATTTTAAATATACTATCTCAAATATGTTTATTGACTATCGCCCAAGTAACTTTATTTCTTTCATATTTTTGAACCTAAATAATGAACACGTTTGCTTATAAAAAATCATCTTGTTACAAATACGTCTATGATAAAATCAATCATGGCGTATTGGCTTACGATTGGTCACGTAAATGGTATAATCATATAATAGGGAAGTGGTTTCTTAGAAGCGGACCTTTCAAAGTTACATGTAACAATTGTAACATGCACTATGCATGTTGTTGATCTGAATCGCTTTGTGAACAGAATTCCCGAATTCCATAATAGAGATCTAGTATTTTTTATTTACGGAGTTCATTCCGTGGTAAAATATCAAAAATAAGTATATATTCACTGTACGTACTATATACAGTATGTATGCGTGCTTTAAAATTTAATTTCACATCGTAGAACAATCAATAAACTATAAATGATATCTAATAATACTCAACCAACGAATAAGTCTAAGCCAAATTATAATCGAAGAAAGAACAAAATATGTAATAAAGAGATTTGTCAATCAGAGAAATCACCATCTACACCACAAAGTGGAAATAAAATTGTTGATGATTTTATAAGATCCACACTAAAAGATCGACAAAGGAAAATGGAATATGTTCCTTATGATAGATTCAAAGATACAAAATTGATTGCAGAAGGTGGATTTAGTAAAATTTATAATACCACTTGGATTGATGGCCCAATAAGTGATTGGGATGACGAAATAAAAATATATAAACGCTTTGGTGAAACGATTATCGTTCTTAAAGAGCTTAACAACTCTAAAGACGTCACTCCTAAAGATTTAAATGAGGTACAGTAGATCATATCATGCTAGTTTGTCTATAAATCTTAATATTAAAATAATATTTTTTATTTTCAATAGCTCAATATATTTCATAGCCTTATGAGCTTAAATAGCTTATTAAAAAAAGATGAAGACAAATATATTAATACTTATTATGGAATCACACAACATCCTATTACTCAAAATTTTATGATAATTATGGAATATCATAAATTAGGAGATATAACACATTATATAGCTAGAAATTTTTTTGATATTAACTGGTACAATAAATTAAATATATTACGAAATATTATATATGGACTTAAAAATATTCATGATGCAAATATTATTCATAAAGATTATCATAGTGGAAATATTTTTTTAGATAAAAGTACTTATCATGGAAATATTTTTATAAAGAAAGATGATCATTGTACAAGTAATATTAAAGCGATAACGGGTGATTTAGGATTAAGTGCCATTGAACAATCGGATAATGATGATGATGAGATATATGGAATCATTCCTTTTGTTGCTCCAGAGATTTTTCAAGGACAAAAATATACTAAAGCTTCAGATATATATAGTTTTGGTATGATTATGTGGGAATTAATGACAGGTAGAAGACCATTTTGGAATCAAAATCAAGATATACAACTTATCATTGAAATATGTGATGGTCTTCGTCCCCCAACTGTTACAGATGTACCTAAAGGTTATACTGAATTAATGAAAAAATGTTGGAATTCTGATCCAAAGAAACGACCAAAGGCTGGCGAAATGTCCGATGAAATTGAAACTATTTGGAGTAATGAATCTAAGAGAAATAATTCAACTAAAATTATAAAATCATCTGATATTGGACCTAAAACAACAAATAATCCAGATGAAGTCTATGAAAGTAGATATTTAAGTACAATTATAAAATCTGTAGACACTACAAGAAGCTCAAGAACTGTCTTAAATAGTAAGTAAAATGATATAATGCATTATTTTATGTTTTATATAAATAATCTTGCTTATATATATATATACATATATATATATTTTAAAAAAAAAGAAAAAAGAAAGTTTGATGATAATCTTTCAGAAGGTAATTAACAAGAACCATATAATAAAAAAAAAATCGGAATATTGAATTATTACCGATCCTTATAATTAATTAATTAATTATTAAATAATATTATAGATAAGATTGCACGAAGAATTAAAATATTTGAACATGAATATGATGGTAAATATCTATTTTTGAGAATACATTTGTTTTATTTTAAATAAATAATTTAATAAAATCCATATTTTTCTTTAGGATATATCACAATGGAGATCGAATTTGATATTGACATTAAATATTAATTAGAATTTTATTTTAAAAATGTTAGTTAATGGCGAATAAAGAGTGTTAATATTTAGAGTTAAATTAATAGTAGATGATGACGAAAAAATATAATGGCTTAGTAATCGAGAACATCGGTTAAACGATGTAATATTCCGATACTATCAAAAAGCTTAAAGAAAAAGCTTGAAGAGTAAAAAAAAACTTCCAAAAATTCAAGAATTAAATGATTTAACGAATGCAGATCTAATACCGAAAAAAGACTGATTTTTTATTAATATTAGTACATGTTATCGTTGTGAAAATTCATGACAAATGAAAAAATAAAAAAATTCAGCCCGATCGAGAGAAAGTAAGATCGGGTTGAAACCAAATAATTTATTTGTTAGTGATAAATTGGATAGCTATTTTAGTAATAGACGTAGCGTACATTTACATTTACAAATTATATTACCGATTTCTAAATTTAATCATTATAAATTTAATCAGCATGCATAAAACAATAAATAAAGTCGCGTGTCATTTACGAATTGTGATTTAGGGGTAATTTGAAATAAAATATTCCCGGAATAGATTCAACAATAGTTTTTTAATTATATAATTATGTTACAATTTGAATGAATAGACAATATTGGGGAAAGATAATTTTAGCATACATCAGAAAGAGCTTTGTTTAGAATTATTAAAAATTACTAAAACTTGATTTTGAATTATATCTAATGTAAATTTAGTATTTTTAGCTATTTTGTGACCCAATTTACTAAGTAAAAATAGTCCAAGTTTCTATATTTTGTAAATACAAGAACTTTTTTTTTCTCATATGTATGAGATTGAAGAAATGCGGGGCAACATTATTAATGCCATCCAATTCATTAAATCATCGTTACCGGATCTAAATTAGATTCTCGAATCATGATTTTAGAGTTTTGTCTATTTATAGAAACTTCACATCATTTTAATTAGGTCATTTGAACATCAGAAAAAAATATATATATAATTTCTATAGTTTAATTTTCTGCCTTCTAGTAATGAATACACATGTAAAATAAAATTATTGATGATTTTATTAAATTTACACATTCAAAAAAATACGGTAAAATGGAATTTGTTCACTACGAAAAATTTAAAGATGTACAATTCATTACCGAAGCTAAGAATGATTTAGTAAAATTTATAAATTGATGTTGGAGTGCTCCACTACCTTATTGTAGTGGCAAAATGACAATCGCACTTAAGGAACTTAGTAATTCTAGTAATATCAATTCTAAAGAGTTAAATGAGGAAACACCGATACAAGCGATTTAGGAATAAGTAAATCTGCGATTGTGATGATGATAATGAAATTTATGGCATTATTCCTTATGTTGCTCCAGAGATTTTCAAGGGCGAAAATATACTAAAGCGTCAGATATATATAGTTTTGCTAAGATTAAATGACTTCGTCCTCCAATTATTATGAACGCACCTGAAGGTTAAACTGTAAAATAAAAATGTATATCGTAATTATTTCATTTGTTAAAAAAAAAAAAAAAATTATAGATAAAATCATAAAATACATTATGCGTAGAAAATAATGGTAAATATTTGAACATATTGAGTTTATAGTATTTTTTTTGTTTTATTATAAAAAATATCATATTTCAATTAAATTTGTATTGTTCTCTAGATTATTTGGCAAAAGAATTTCAATTTGATATCTACATTAATAAAATTAATAAAATTAATAATAATAATGGTAAAGTAAATGGATATTGATTATCTAAAAATAACAATAATTTTTAAACTAATTTTTATTCATAATTATAGATTTGAATTTGATATTTAAAGTTTCAGAATTTGGAGATATATTGTAATTTAGTAATTTAAGTAAAGACTTAATAAAAGAAATTTTTCTAAAATCTTTAACTTATAAAGTTAAATGATGTCATGATGTGTGCGTAAAAATCATCTGTTGCTACAACCGCTGTAACTCCACTCCATTCATGGTAATATTGATTTTATGATTGGTCAAAAAATGTTTACGTAAATGGTATATTGATGCGGACCTTCCAATTTCAATTCCAATATTCCAACGCTAAAGTAACTTACATATAACATGTCGATCTGAACATCCGAATTAAAAAAACATTGTATTTTTTTATTTACGGAGTTTAATCGGCGGTAAAAAATTATACATATATGTATGCTTGCTCCTAAAATCTTTTTTTCGCTTCAAACAATCAATTATAAATGACGTCTAATAACATTCATCCATTGAAAAATTCAATTAAACAAATTATAATAAAGAATGAAAGATATAATAAACATTTGATGAGATTTGTTAATCATAGAAAACGCTATTTATACAAAAGTTATCGTAAAACATTATTTTGAACATTTTAAATAAATTAAAACCTGATATAATTCTATCTTACACCTTTTATTACACATTTTTTCTTACGTTTTATACAGTACCAATGGAAACAAAGATTTCTATGTAATACTTGAAACCGGTTATTAACTGGTTAATAAAATGTACAAGCTCTATTTCTATGAGATTATTCTATGTACAACTCAGAACGCTCTTGTGGAATATTTTATTAATATCATAAATCCTCATCTTCATTATAAAGAGTGCTGCTTGCATTGACAAATTATATATCTATAAAAAAAAAGATGTCTTTTACAGAAAGAGGAAAAAGGAGAAAAAGAGAGTCTTTTATAGAAAAAGAAGAGAAAAAAAAAAATTGATTTGCTTTTGTTTCGAAGGATCAAAAGATAGAAGACATTTGATTTGCAATAGATGTTTTTATAAAATAGAAACCGATGAACATCGAGATGATTTGTTTGAATATGTTTCTTATAATAGATTCAAAGATTTGGAACTTATTGCTGAAGGAGGATTTAGTAAAATCTATAAAGCAACTTGGATGGATGAGATGAATAAATGTGTTGTCCTCAAGGAACTTGATAATTCTAAAAATATCAATTATAATGAATTAAATGAGGTACTGTACAGTAACCTGTACTAATTAATTAATATGATAAATAACTTTGGATTAATAATTTTTTATTTTTAGCTCAAGATATTTCATAATTATATAACTTTAAAACATTATGCTCGTAATAACATTAATACATATTTTGGAATTACTCGAAATCCTATAACACAAAATTTTATAATAATTACAAAATATTATGAAACAGGAGATCTAAGTCATTGTATAAATAATGAATTTTTCAATATTAACTGGGAAAATAAGTTAAAAATATTAAGTTCAATGATACAAGGACTTTATAATATGCATGATTTAAATATTATTCATAAAGATTATCATAGTGGAAATATCTTTATGACAGCAAATAAATTACCAGTAACAGGTGATTTAGGATTAAGTAAATCTGCAATCGAATCATCAAATGACGATAATAAGGAAATTTATGGTATTATTCCTTATGTTGCACCAGAAATTTTTCGAGAAGCGAAATATACTAAAGAAACAGATATATATAGTTTTGGTATGATTATGTGGGAATTAATGACAGGCAGAAGACCATTTTGGGATAAAAGTCATGATACAGATCTTATTATTGAAATATGTGATGGACTTCGTCCTCCGATTATCACAAATGCACCTGAAGGGTATATTGAATTAATGCAAAAATGTTGGCATTCTGATCCAAAGAAACGACCAAAAGCAGTCGAAATATATGAAAAAGTTGGGAATATTTGGTCTAATGAATCTCTTAATGGTAATTCAACCAAAATTATAAGATCACCAGATATTGGGCCTATAGCAACTAACCATTCAGGCGCATACTACAAAAGTAGACCTTTAAGTGCGATGATAAAGTCTGTAGAATCTACAAGAAATTTGAGAAGTCAAAGCATTTTTTCAGAAACTGGTAAAAACATTTTATTTTAAAGTAATCATTATCATTTTTTTTTTGTTACTAAAATTAATCATTTTTAAAAAAAGTTAAAAGAAAGTTTGATGATAATCTGATTAATGGTATAATTTTTTTCAAAATAAATTATACTGTAGAATGTAGATTAATTAATTTTTTTTTCTTAAAAATAAAATAAATAAATAGATAAAATTATTAAAAAAACTAAATTATCTCCAAATGAAGGCAATGGTAAGTACTTTTTTTTATTTGTCTGTATATATGTATGTATATATAATTTAAAATTAAAATTTATAGATTATCTGACAAGGGAATTTGGGTTTGATATCGATAACGCAAGTTCTAATAAATCTAACAAAAATGGTAAGTTTACTATTTGCGTTCGATTTATTAATTAAAATGTGCTAATAATTTTATTTCGTTTGTCGTATATAGATTACACTAGCAAAGAAATCAATTTTGATATTTGAAAACGATTATATTAATGTATCATAATTTGTAAGTTTTATTTTATTTAATATCGTCGTATTGGTATAAAGTCCTTTTATAATTATTAAGTTATTTATTATTGATATTATGGAATTTTATACTATATAATCAATGGATTTTTATCTGTTATAATATATTATCATTTCGTTCATAATTTGCTGCGCCAAACTTTATTCATCTTAAAGTAAGGAATTAAGATCTATTTCCTGTTGGTCACAAATACGCCAGACGGGTATATTTGAATTAATTTATCCAGTTTTTCATCCGGATTTAATTATTGCTAGAACTACAAGTTTGGCCAGAATTAATATAAATTTCTGGAATAATAATATATTAATGTTGGCCGAAATTAAGATTCATAATCACATGAAAATATTCAAGTTTTATCCGGATCGAAAGCATTAAATAAAAGAATGTTACCAATTTTTGATCCTAATAAAGATCAACATCTAATAATTTACAATCAAAATATAGAACTATTTTGAACGATGAAAGAACAAGTCATAAAATCACAGTAAAGTAACCCCTTTAAACATAAGTACTATACAAAATTCAGAATTTACAAAAAGAAATTATTTCAGGAAATTGGTAAAATAATAAATTATTTATTATAATTAGTAAAATTATATTATAGACTATTCAATTTTTACTTACTATATATAATTTATATTATTTGTTTCGCGTTCATTTTTCTTATAAAAGACGTTAAATACTTATATGTTCTTTTTTTCCTAAATGGCAAAAAATCAAATATATAACAAATTCTTTATTACTGGATCAACTCTTCTTTCTCAATGACTTGCACATTACGCAATTAACGCAAGTATAAAGTACGAACTATACTCGAAAAGTTTCACCAATATAATTGTCAAACAGACAAGCGTTCGATGTTGGGGTTTCAGACATGATCGACATCATGATTAACCCTAAATTCCATGAAATTTTGGGTCTAATATTGGGATAGTTACAGAATCTCAACCTGTCACAAAGATTTACAACTTATTAATATATTAAAGGTAAAAAAAATGGCTGTAATATACATTAATAGTTAATATTAATTAATGTATTAAAACTAGAATAAAATAATAAAAAAAATCCCGATTACAGTTCCAAGAAAACAGTCATACTAGGAAAAAGAACAACCATTATATTATAATATTAATGTTATACAATAATTTTAATTACATGGTGTAGCAATCCCGTTTAAAAGAAACCCGAAAATCAAGTAATTTTGAATTTCACAATTTACGCCACGTCTCCGACGCCAATTTATAGTTTATTTACAATGAGAATTATTAGTTTTGTCAAAAAAAAGAAAAGAAAAGAAAAGAAAAAAACCAAACAAAAAAAAGTAAAATTAAATATCTTGCTATGACGCCAACTTCGTAAACCTGGAATATTTAAATTTTTATTAAAGAAAAAACAAAAAGTAGCGCGTATTTAGAAATCATGTAGGCAATGTAGCATAAAAATGTTCAATAAACACGTTTCTTTTATTTCGGTTGCATCATGTACTGTACCACCGTTAAGGTACTCCCCTGTTTATACATATGACTATTTTTGTCTCTTTTTGTAACTTGTGCAAGCCTACAAGTTTCCGGATAAATTAGATTCCGGCACTCATTTATTAAGCTCGGTTTTTTAGTAACTCTTTTTTTTTTTTTTTTTTTNTTTTTTTTTCTTTCAAACCCCTCTTTCGAGAGGCCTTCAAAAAGCGTCCCCCCCAACGTCCCTACCCCAAAGAAACCAACCCCAACAAATAATACTTGGTACTATTACTGAACACATAAAAAAAAAAAAAATGAATATGAATGTGACCCAACTTTTTGAGAGGTACGGTTTATTAGGTCTCCACTTTAACTACTCTTTCTTTTAGTGACCGAAAGAAAGGGTACTTTGTACAAAGCATCGCGCGGGAATATCATAACATGACTTTTTTATAAACCGATCTACTTTGAATAACTCTTATGGTTATATCAAAGTTATAACAAAAAACATACATTGATCTAATGCCTATTTAAAATATGTATTTTTCTTAGCATCGTTCTGATGGCTCAAGAAGCCAAAGAACAATTTACACGTGGGATAGAAGGCGAAGCTTTTAACCGTCTTGAAGATATAACAAAAACTATCAATGTATTAAAAGACTTTAAATCAAATATTGAACAACTGGTAACTATGATTATTAATATTTCCTTTTAAAAATTTTATTAATCATTTATACTCACAAAATTTATTTATTTTAATAGAATTTAAGGGTAAATACCTCTTTAATTCGAGAATTTAGATTACCATGATTTCTTTAATTAAGACTAAAAATTTTCTTTTTTTTCTTTAATGTTTCATAAATGTTTATTATTTTATTATTATTATTTTTTAAATTAAAAGCATTCCATAGCTACTCCTCATACCACGCCACAAGCATCTCCATCAACGGCAGTATCCGTACAACCTATGGCACAAAAATCTAATAAGGTTTAACCATACGAATTATTTTTATCACTTCGGTTTATTAAGAAAAAAAAAGTATTAACAATTAATTATTATATTAGAGAAACGGTCCTTTGAAATATAATGAAAAACCTAGAAAAGCTATGAAATCAAATATTGAAGATACACCCACTATCACAAGTGAGGTGTATTCCGTCAATGTTCGTGATTTGGCTAATTCTAATGATCATTTCGCTCCACAGGTTTGCATCGTTAATCTAAATTGTTGAACATTATTTTTTCCCTAGTAAATTGATTTTTTTTTTTTTTTTTTTTTTTTTTTAAATATAGCCTGCTCCTATATATGCTCAACAAGGCGTTGTACTTCCAAATGCTCCACGTACTCATACACATGCACCGTTAGATCCCGTGCTTTTGAAGAATCTTGATGATATATTCATAAGCTTTTTACAAACCATTTGTTCAAATTGTATGTATTTATATTTTGAAAGTGATATTTATGGATAATGATTTCTAATGAATGGAATTTTTTATATATAGTGGATGCTACGGATTCAAAGGGTGAACAAATGTAAGTTTTGAAGTTATTGTGTTAATTCAAGGGTTTAATATTAAAAGATAATAACTCATACTTTATTTTGACAATAGTCATCAGACTTTAATGGCAAAAAAGATGCAAAAGTTGGATGAATCTCCCGACTTTCGACCATTCAAATTTCGAATTCAAGCATTTACTAACGCCTTTCATGAAGAACTACTTCGTCATGGATTTAACGAAGAAATGTTACCGTTAAGAAAAGTAAAAAATTATTTGTGGACGCAAAGGTTTGATATTTTCTTCTAATTTAATATTTGTTTAATTTATTTAAAAATAATTATTCTTATCTTAAAATATTTATAGATATATTTCTCGGTTCAATGAGGATGGTAAAAAGGCAAAGTCCAAGGGTAATCATGTATGGAATATTGAGGCTAAAAAAACACCTTCCGGTGGGTGGATATTTCGCGAGTTTACTCGCAAGATAGCCGGAATTCCTGATAAGATTGCCTATGTCGGAACTAAATATACTTATGCTCCCCGAGTTTGGGATCCACAAGTTAATGTAAAATGTAAGTACCTGATTTTTAAAGATAAATAAATATTAATTAAATTAATAAATATTTACTTATTACAGCTATAAAAGCTGTATTTCATTCTCCATGGTTACCGGAATGGCTCCGTTGGGAAAATAATGTATTGACGGGCACTCCAGATATGAATTCAGAAACTTGTGAAATCACAGCAATTGCAAACTATTATCATGGTGATACTGTGTATAAGCTTGAAAAATCTTTTGTAATTACTGTGGCACATATTGATCAATCTGATGAGTTAAATCTTAACTCTGTAGTAAGTGAAAATTTTTATTTAAAAAAATTTTTTTTTTACAATTAAAAAAAAAAACTAAAAACATATTAAACCTATTTTATAAATTTAGGCTATGGCCGATTATCAATTACAATCACATCTTGGTTAATCATTTTGTAAGAGATTATAAAATTTTTAGTATATTTGTTGATCTAGTTAGATTAGTTAGAATTAGTAAGTTATATATAAATATATATTTAAAAAGTAAGTAATCTTTGGTAAACGAAACGGGATAAATTTGACAAACAAAGAAGTTAACTAATGGCTGAAAATTTGTACAAATCTAAATATAATTAACGTTATTTCCAAATAAAATTTATAGTATTTTATTAAAAAAAACCATCACTCATCGTTAGATTCTTGTTTATTAAACAAACCTCAAGAGTCCAGACCAATAGTGGTTTTATCATATGATAATTTAAAATATTTATTAAGGCCGTTGCAATACCTACGGGTATTTGCCGCATTAGCCTCCGATCATATAAATTAATACTGAAATTTGTAACGACTATAACGATTTTTTGTTTTCCACGTTTTATTCTCTTGATTCAATTTTTTTCTTGTAAAATGTTGTTTTAAATGTTTATCTGTTGATCACAGATTTATATGCGCTAACCTTAACCAAGCGTGGGATTTATGCCAATCTGCAAATTTGTCGATCTTTCACTTGTCCTGAAAATGCAAACTTCTCGATTTACTTTATTGTATCGTAACTTCGCGAACAACATATATAGTAAACCGTTAAGTAGAAATAGATTTATCCATAAGGTATAAGATAAGGTATTCCCTTTTATCTTCTTTTTTATTAAATGTAGTATATTCGTTATTTTACAATATGTTTTAATTAATCCCTTAATAACAGGCATTTTTCCATGCGACGAAAAAGATCCTACAAACTTCTGGGGCCCCAGCCCCAGCCCCAGCAGAAGGCTATTTACCTGGTGTTGCACAATCTAAATTCATAAAATCTACTCAAGAAGAAGCTTTGAAAAATTCCGAATTAATGAATACCGGGGTTGCAAATGGTATTATAATTGATATAGAAACATAATGCAAATTTAATTGATTTAAATTAAAATGTCTTATTTAGGAGAGACAAAAAAGATGAATATGTTTCAAGCGATAAATGATGCAATGGGCATCGCACTGACTACTGATGAGACAGCAGGTACATATATTTCCTTATGTGATATATATTTAATTAAATAAATTGTTAATAATTATTACCTTTTGAAATATTGAAATATTGTAGTTATTTTTGGTGAAGATGTGGCTTTTGGTGGTGTATTCCGTTGTACTTTAGGGTTAGCAGAAATGTTTGGTATGTTTATGGATACTATTTCGATCAATTATATATATTTACGCGTTTATTTTCATTAATTAACAGGAAGAGATCGAGTGTTCAATACACCATTGTCTGAACAAGGTATTGTTGGATTTGGTATAGGGATGGCGGCAGTGGGGCACACAGCTATTGCCGAAATTCAATTTGCCGATTATATATTTCCGGCTTTCGATCAAGTAGTTATACTATAATACTTGTTTAATTTTTTGTTATATCGAACTTGTTATTTCTAACTTATGACTATACAAAATTAGCTTGTCAATGAAGCTGCTAAGTATAGATACCGTTCAGGCGGTTTATTCAATGTCGGCGGTTTGACGGTTCGATCACCTTGTTCGGCAGTGGGACATGGTGGACACTACCATTCCCAATCACCGGAGGCATATTTTACTCATACACCAGGACTGATTGTAAGTTATTATTAAAAAAGAAATTTTTTCTTTCATTAAATTATAAAACATGTTTTACTATTAAAGGTTGTTATGCCAAGAAGTCCAATACAAGCTAAGGGACTTCTATTGGCATCAATAAGAGATCGAAATCCAGTAATATTTTTGGAACCAAAAATTTTGTATCGTGCTGCTGGTAAGTTGTATTAAATTATAAATAATAATATCTAGTAACTACTACTAACACAAGTTTTGTTAAAGTTTATGCTCACTCTTTCGTAAAAATATTAATCTTGCAAGTTTATCTTAACTTATTTCACTATTTTGGTTGATTAGTTGAAGAAGTTCCAGTAGGTGATTATGAACTTCCCTTAGGTAAAGCCGAAATTCTCAAATCTGGCAAGGATGTTACCGTGGTTGGCTATGGGTCACAATTATATACCCTTGAAAATGCTATTAAATTGGCAGAGAAAGATATTCCTGGTCTATCATGCGAATTAATAGATTTGAGATCACTTTCACCTTGGGATGTTGATACTGTTGCAAATTCAGTGAATAAAACCGGAAGACTGGTTATTTCTCATGAAGCACCTCAAACTTCTGGTTTTGCTGCTGAAGTTGCAACAAGTATAATGGAAAGATGTTTTTTAAGACTTGAGGCGCCAATCCAAAGGGTTTGTGGATTGGAGTAAGTATTTTTAAATTAGTTAATTTTGTTTTAAAAGGGTAAAAAAAATTATTTACATTTATTTATTTATCTATTTTGTTTTATCTTATCAGCACTCCATTCCCCTTAATATTTGAAAAATTTTATGTTCCGGATATGACAAAGTGTTACGATGCAATTAAAGAAGTTGTGAACTATTGATATCTATTTGTAACACAAATTATTAAAATTATTCTCTTCTTTTTAATAATATTGTCATTTCTATATTAAGATTGTGAACATAATTTTTTACATCTACCCTAAGAAATTTTTTTTTTTCTTTAATAAAAAAAAAGAAAAAGAAAATTAAACTAATTTAACCAACGTATAAAGAAAATAATGATAATTAAAATGATTTAACAAACAAAAAGAATTACGCACTCTTGCGAGGATTTTTTTTTTACAAATCAAATTTTACCTTATTCCTTTCCAAATAATAATAATAATAAAAAAAAATAATAATAAATGTAATAAATATATTAAAATAAATTAATGATTCTTTTTTTTTTACAAAATACTATCCATCTTTGTAAAAACATTTAAAACAGCGAACACAACTTCAACCTGTAATTCTTTTCCTTCAGGAATATCAGCTTTAACTTTTTTAGAAAAAGGATGAGTAGAATATTCACTTAATAATTCATCAACTTTTGTATATGCTTTTTCTCTTAATTCATGATTTAACTGCAATAAGCATTTTCTAATACATTAGCGGCGTAAGCAACACATACCATTGATATAGTACGTANGCTTTAACTTTTTTAGAAAAAGGATGAGTAGAATATTCACTTAATAATTCATCAACTTTTGTATATGCTTTTTCTCTTAATTCATGATTTAACTGTAACAAAGCATTTTCTAATACATTAGCAGCGTAAGCAGCACATACCATTGATATAGTACGTAAATTACCAAAAGGTGTTTCGGACGTTATAGAAGTAGAAGAATGATTAGAATGAGTTAAAGTTTTAATAACTCTATTAACAATTTCTTCTTTTGTCGAAGAATCACTAACAGGATGAGTTGCCATATCAAAAAGTAAAAAATTTCTTTTTTCGGTTCTTAAAATCCCTTTATCTACTAATCCTTTTGCTAAACGTTCTCGTACTTGTTTTAATTGATACCCAATCTTCATTACATTCCAAGTTTCTCCTATTAAAATAATAAAAGATAGAAAAAATAATAATTAAATGAAAAAGGATTTAAATGAAAAAAAAAATTTTTTAATATTCAACAAATAACAATAATAAATAATTCCTCTCTTAAAAATCATTTCTCCTTTTTTTTGGTATACATTCAAACTCACCACTCATTAGATCAATCCAATTTCCAACGCTCATAGGTTCACTATTTTTCATCAATTTTAATGCTTCATCTAAAAATACTTCTCCTGTCAACTTATCCTCAAGGACCTCTATGATCCTATCTGAAAGTGGACATTTTCGACGATTTGAATCTTTAGTCATGGCTATTCGACCACGAAACGCGAGTTCCATAAGAATACACCCTCTTAACGTATAAGAAATATTATCATTCCAGAATGAGAGGTAACCCTGATCAAGATTATTATTTATATAGAAAAGAGAAATATTACATAAAAAATAATTTGTAAAGATATAAATAAAAGATTATAATCGATAATCGAATCCTAATTTCTAATCGTATTCTTTCTTCCCTTCCTCCCCCTCAAAAAATTGTCATTTTTTTTATTAATTATACCGATTATACCGATTCTACAAAATTCGTCTTTTGTTAAGTAAATGAATGATAATATGATAAATCGTCCCATATATTTAATAAATTGTCTTTAAAATGTAACGATCTTTAAAAAAGTTTTCTTTTTATTTTTTTCATTTAAAAAAAACTAAAAGAACAAACTGCTACTATTCTCCATGTCAATTGATAATTAATCCTTCTTTCGATAGATAATTATTCACCTAATTAATAATTACTATTCAACGACGATAGATTATCCAAATTATGAATTAAAATTTTCAAATGTTTTTTTATTGTCGGGGGAAAGAAAAAAAAATACCGAATAAAAAATTATAAATGAAATAAATATTTTACCTGTTTATCTTTTAAACCTAGCAAGAGAACTTCTTCCATAAGTGTTAAAATAGGTTGTTTTTTATCTTCATCATCAAGTATGTCATTAGGATCAACTGCAATCCTAACACCACTCTCTGAATAACTTCGATCTGGTGTTGTTGGTACATTATTTTCGTGTGATGAAGTAAAAGCTCCAGCGTTTTTTCTTCTTTGTAAACCACTTGTTGAAGCCATGTTGTAATATAAAATATTATTCTAATAGTTTAAATCGTCCCTTCTACTATATAATGATGTAAGTTAAAGATAACTAAATAAAAGAAATCTAAATAAAGGAAAAGAAACTAAAATAATTTCGAGAAATATAAATTTTAATAAATAAGAGTACGGAATATTTGTTATGCATAAAGCACATAAATGATAAGCGGAATCTACCTAAATTGAAAAAATAAAAAAATTATATGATTTTTTTATAACGATATCTCATCCCAAGATTTTTTTTCGATCATTGATCTTTACTGATTATAGATTAGCTAAAGACTAATCACGTATTTTCCTTTTTATTAAATAATCTATTTTTTTTAAAAAAAAAAATTTTTTCTTATTTCTAAATTTAATAAAAAAACTTTCTAGAATTGCCCAGTCTAGAATTAGAATTTATAATTTAAAGTTGACCAAAAATGATTTTCCGTTACAAATTCTATATAAGTGGCATTTTTATTATATAGCTTGATATGGCAGAATATGATTTATTATGATTGGTTAAAAATTTAAATATTATTTTGGGTGTTTTTTTTAGAATTTAAGTATAAAATATTATTGATTGACAAAAAAATATACATAAAATATCATAAAATAAAATAAAAAATGCCAACATAATTAGATAAATTTTTTTTTTATCTGAAGATGTAATTTGATTTTTTAGTCTCTCAGTTTATAAAATAAAACATCTAATGTAATTAGATATTACCTGAAGATGTAATTTGATTTTTTAGTCTTTCAGTTCATAAGTCAAAAATGTCTAATATAATTAAAATTTTTTTTATTTGATGTACAGTCGACCCCCTCTATAATCACACCCCTTGGGACCATTAAATTGTGTGACTATAGAGGGGTGTGCTTATAAATTATATATTCATGCATATATAAATTTTTAGTTTTGTGTGATTATATATGTTTTGTATAAAATCATACTGTAATGTTGATCACAGCACTAACATGTGATAATTTATCGCAATGTAACATATTACTGGTGTCTAAAAAAAATTAAAAAAAAATTTCATCCATTCTATCCATCCATTTCCTTCAGAATTTTGTAAATTTTACACATGAACTTAAATTATTTGTATTAGTTACATAGATATATTTATTATTCCTTTATATAAACATTGCAATTACACCCAAAAACCTATTTGTTATTACGATAAAATACTACAAAATTATATTATAAATGTTATAAATGTTACAAGTGTTACTAAAACTAATAAAATCCATAGATATTATATTATTATTTTTTAAAAAACATATCAAGTGTACTTTGCCTTTTCGAATTAAATTCCTGAGTTCTAGCAATTCGTAAATATTTTCTGAAAACACGCAAATCGTCAATATTAAATTCAGAATTATCTTGCTGTTCAAAATAATTAATAAATATTTTTAACCCACTAACTGCCTTTTTTACCGATACCAAAGGTATTTCATCATCCTCATCCTCCTCTTCATCATTTAAATTTCCTCCTTCTTTTTCGAATTGTACTAAATTAACAATCTCTTCGTCAGTAAGATTTTTTTCAGTTGGAATTTCGTGATCAAGCATCTGAAAGTATTTTATAATATCATCAGAATTTGGCAAATTATCAAAATAATCTTCAATATCCTCATCATCTAAATCTGATTCAAGATCATTCTCATCTACATCATCATCATTATCGTCATCATAAGTTGGAAGTATACCTGTTTTGATCTAACAATTCCGAATTGTCTTCTGAATAATATTATTCCACCCTTCAGCAATGTAGTCAATTGCTTCTTTAAGATTTAACTTGTTTCTAAGTTTAATTATTAATATTAAAAGTAATAAATAGTGTATCTTATTTAATTAAAACAAAGCACTTTCTATACTTACTCTATATGATCTATTCCAGAATCAAATTGACAAATGATATGTTTACAAAATTCCTTCTTATACTTGGCTTTAAAACTATGAATAATCCCTGCATCCATGGGTTGAAGGTGTGCAGTTGTATTTGGTGGTAAGTAAATGAGTTTAATATTAGTGAGATTAGATATCATTTTTTTATTTTTACTATTTTTTTTTTAATTTTTTTATTTATTTTGATTTTGATTTGATTCGAATTATTTTCACCAGTATTTGTTGTTTCATTATTGTCATTTTCCTCAAGTCTTATTGTATTAAAATGGGAACCTGCATTATCAATAAGAAGTAAAATCTTTTGATCCAATGTGCGAAAATAATTGTCAAGATATCTTAACCATTCAACAAAAATATCAGATCTCATTCAAGCCTTTGAATTAGCTCGATATATAACAGGAAGAGCTGATTTGTTGAAATTTTTGAAGCATCGGGGATTAAATGACTTTCCAATTACAAGAGGACATAGTTTATGAGAGCCTGTAGCATTAGCACAAAAAAGAATGGAAACTCGGCTTTTATCCTATAAAATAAAATAAATTTAATATTAAATTATGTGTTGAAATTTAAAAAATTTTTGTATGTGCAATGCGCACATTAACACTAAATAAAATAATGATAGGTGATAATTAGAAAAATGCTGCCTCACATGGGAAATTGGGATATATTGTGCTATTATGCCTCATCACAGAGTATAAATCAATCATATTATAAATATTATAAAGTTATAATTTTCTTACTTTTTTGCGTCCTGCAACTGCACCAGTACTAAGTGTTTAATTTGGCTCCATTCAAAAAAAAACCTGTTTCATCTGCATTATAAATGTCTTCTGCATCATATTTGGCTAAAAGTGCACGTAAACATACACGTTCTGCTGGAAGACTTTCGATTGGAGCGCTATTAGCTTCTTCTGAAAAATTAACTTTTTGAAGACCATTACGCAATTTAAATCTATACACCCAACCATTGGCATACTTTAATTGGTCATGAATATTTAAATTTTCAGCAAATTCTATTCCTTTTTGTTGTAATATTCCATCTGTTAAAGGAATTCCACTAGCTACAACTTGTGAAGTCCACATTTGCATAGCTTTGTCAAGTTTTGGATATTGAACAGGCTGTTGCCGAAATGTATGTGCAGTCTGTGAATTAGAAAGAACTGCTAGCCACTTTTTCCGATCTTTCCATATTTTATTAATGGTTGTTCTTTGAATATCTAATCCAGCATATTTTGTATTAAAAAAAGAAGCAACAGTAGCTTGATTTACGTTGGGATTTGCCACCATATATTCACAAATCTCTTTTTTTATATCAATACTAATAGCAATACGGGTTCTTGTTATTTTTTCCAAACGAATAGGTGGCATTATAATAAAATAGTGAAATAGTGAAATGTTAAACAAGTAAACAAGACTGCGCAAACTGTGCAAATTATGCAATTCGCGTATATTATATAATTGTACAACCTATCTTATCACGTGATATGATGTGATTATAAATGGGAAAATTCTCTTATGTTTACTATAGTACAGGACTGATAATAAATGTGATTATGCTTATAACTAATACTGTGATTATAAAAGAGGTGTTTCTTATATAAAAAATTTGGGACTAAATAAAATGTGCTTAAATAAGAGGAGTGATTATATAGGAGGTGACTATAAAGGGGGTCAACTGTAATAAAAATAAAAAGAGACTTATTGATAAACTAGATTTTAATATTATTGATAAATAATTTAATTCTTTATAAAAATAAAGAAAATAAGTATTAGTAATGATAATTTAAATTTTAATAATAATATAATGTTAGTAATTGAAAAAGAAAGTTATATTTTAATAATAAAGGATATTAGAAGTCTAAATATTAAGCTCAATATTATATGAGAAATAAAAAATTATATATTTATATTTAATTATTACTTATTAGATAATAAATAATAAAGATAATAAATTACTAAATAATAATTTAAATATTGGGTTTAATATAGAAAAAAATAAAGAAACTTTATAAAAAAAATCTAGAATTGTTTAATATTTATTAAAAAAAATCTGAAATTACTTGAAAAATTACCTAAAAGTCTATTTAAAGGATTATCTGATAATAAAGAAAATTTGGAATTTAAAAAATTTAAAAAAAAATTATCAAATAATAAAAATGATGAAAAAAATTCAAAGCCAAATTATCATACAATGAAAATAATAAAAAAAAAATTTTAAAAATTATCAAATAATGAAAGTGATGAAAAAAATCATAAAAAGACTTTTCTATTATTATTTTAATATTGATTTAATATGTAATTTATGATTAATATTTATAAATCATAGACATGTACTATTTTATATATAGTTATGGTCTGGTGCAAAAAGATTTGCACCTTACCAAAAAAAGAAATAAGAAATAAACAATATTACCTAAACAAAGTAGGCTGAAATTTTTTTTTGTTTACTCCTAACCCCTGCAACACTCTTTTTTAAAAAAAACTCACCTTTTTTTAATACAATTTTCCATGAAACAAAACGGCGCATTACTAACAGACAATGAGAAGTTGATGATAGTTAACGTTTACAATTATTTTTCAAATGATAACTTAAGAACAGATGATCATCATAAGTTTACATTACGCAAGCGTGTTGCTGAGGTATTAGGAATATGCGAAAGGACAGTTGCAATCGTAATTTTAGACTGGAGAAGCTACGGTGACAACACTTTTACATCACACAAGACTCTCAGAAGACCTAAATTAGAACCTGATAAAAACCTTTGCGAATAAAAATTTTAGATTCTAACAAAAAAGCTGAACAACTTAGCACACCTATATTACGACAATTTCTTTTTGAAAACGGTTATGAATTTTCTAAATGGAAGCTTCTTTGGGTGTTATATCGTTTGGGATATTATTTCAGCCAGAGGGATCATAGAAATATTCTTCACAAGTCACCAAATAATGTTGCATACCGTTGTCATTATCTCCATTTTTGTTTTGCTAACTTGGAAGGTAATAATGATGTGCCTCGCCGCCCAGAAGTTTTTCTTGATGAGTCATATTGTCATTTGCATCATACCTTACAAAATACTTGGTTCCTCATCAAGGTATCATTTTAGCGTCTGGTCATAGTTCATTAGTAGTAATTTTTGGGGCAATTGTTGTATTTAGGAATGGATCTTCTAACAAACTATATGGTGAGCTCGTCCCTAATTCTGTTTATATTTGAAATCCAACAATTAAACCATCTACAGGCTGTGGACGAAAAAGAAATGATGCAGAGGAATGGAATGATATTTCTGACATTGTTAAAGATGCCAATATTACTCCTAATCAAGTGAATTACCATGGAAATTTTAATGCAGAAATTTTTGAGGATCTTTTCTCAACTCTTTGTAAAATACTCTATGAAAATTATGGACCTGTAAGCATTCATATGGATGGAGCTAGTTATCACAAACGGCGGGTGGAAACTATTTCATCTTCAAATGCAAAAAAACAAAACTTAATTGATTGGTTAAATGCTCATGAAATTTCTTTTTCTAGTGATTTAAAAAGACCAGAACTTCTAGAATTAGTTCGAATAAACAAAGAAAAGGTACCATTTTCTTGTATAAAAATTGCGGAACAGTATGAGCATGAAGTTTCTTTTACCCCTCCATATCATTGCGAACTCCAGCCAATAGAAGGTGTTTGGGCAGTAGTAAAAGGTGAAGTTGCTCGTTCAGGTTCACATCCAAATCTTTTATCTATTAGGAATACACTTCTAGATGCATTTAAGAAAAAAGTTACTTCACAAGTTATTATTGGGCTTTGGAGAAGAGTACTTAAAAATGCAAAGAAATATTTAGAATCGGACGAAGATGCTCAATTAATAGATGACAAACTTGACGAATATAGTAGCTTTGATGAAGATCACGTGATTTAGCATAATTTTTATGTCATATCTTTTCCAATATGTACTGATATTATTTCAATAAAAAAAAAAAAATTCACATATTAAAAAATTTTTTATTGGTGATTTGTTTGAGGTGCAAATCTTTTTGCACCAGACCATATTCACTATTTAGTTTATAATACTTCTAAAAATATTATTTTTATCTTCTAACTCTTTGTATTAATTTAATTTAGTTTTTTTTAAAAAAAAAAGCTATAAAATTTAGTAAGGATTTATATAAAATATTGCAATTTATTTATAAATTGCTAACTTGTTCTCTTAAAATGAATTATACAGACAAGCTATTATAAACTATCTAATTTTAAAGAGCTTTTAATAAATTGATAACTTGCAAATAATTTAATTTTAACATATATTATTTTATTAAATTATACTAAAATTCTATTTATAATTAATGATAAAAATGATATTAAAGAATATTTTTAATTCTATCATAAAAGATACAAAAAGTCAAATTATAAAAGATATTTTATAATATAAAAATTTATATTTCAATATGAAGCTTAGAAATTATATATTTGCTTCATTGCTTGCATGCATTCTATTCTGCAAATCTTAAATAAAAAAAAAGTAATAATATTTTGATATAGATTTTAGAAATTTGGATTTAATTTTTCAGATTTTACTAAAAATATATAGATTCGTTATTACAAGTATTTAATAGTACAGTAATTGAATTTTTTTGAATAAATTTGACGCGTTATGATATAATTACATTTTAATTAAATATGTAAATTAAAAAATTTAATATCACAATAAAAATGAAAAAAATTATTATTATTAGCGCTAGTGAAACTTTTTTAATTTTGGACAGCCCGAAGTGTGTCTGAGCTACGCCACAAAGTCACGTGGGGTGAAAATTTTCCTCCTGAAAACTGCAATCATGGATAACGAAAATAACGAAAGTGAAATTTTTCGCTCTAGTTCGTCAAATGATGACGAACCTACACTGGACTTGGATCTTAATGCTCTACAACAGCTTGCTTCCAGTCGCTTAAACAGACATTGTGTTCACACTCGTAGACTAACAAAAGGACTCTATAATGAAATTTATTTATTACAATTCGAGGCTGGACCAGACTGCATCGCCCGACTCTCATGTGATCTAAACCACCCTGCAGCAAAATTCGCTAGTGAAGTTGCGACTATGAAGTATATCGCTCAAAACACCAGTATCAAAGTGCCAGAAGTATACGATTGGGATGGCACTGTGCATAATCCCATAAAAATCCCTTACATTCTCATGGAACGGCTACCTGGACAACACTTATATCGAGTTTGGGATAAGTTAACGGTTGAAAAAAAGAAGTGTGTTTTAAGCCAAATTGTCGACACGTTGCTCTTGAAGAGATCGGATGTCTTTACATGGACTCTGTGAGTACAGTTACAACTTTTTACTTGTAGTATTATGCAAGTCACATAATTAATATTTATTGAATCATATAATAATACTATGGAATATTAGATGACGTCAACTTTTCGAATAGGACCTATTGTGGATCCTGTATTTTATGTTGAGGGAAGAAATGCCATTCCTAGTTCCGCCGGCCCTTTTAGAAGCATGCAGGAATTATTTGACGCCTTGATTCAAAAAGAAAAAAATTTCTTCGAGATTCATGGTGTGCAAGAACTTATGAAAAAGCAGAAAATGGATCAGATAACGGCAGCAAGTCAAGTGGCAAATCTAATAGAACAAATGATCACTCTTCAAGCCAAGTTATTCAAACCTTTTGATAAATCGATAGATCAAAAACCATTTTTTCTTGTTCATGGTGATTTCGATGCGCAAAACATACTCGTTGAGCGTTCAGTTAATGATGAAATCAAAATTGTAGGTATCATTGATTGGGAGTTTTCACGTACAGGAACTTTATGGAATTTGTGCCAGTATCCAATATGGATCCAAGAAGTAGAAGAACCGTTCAGAAATCTCACCGATTTGGAGGTGCAAGAGTGTTATGAAAAACAGAAGCTAAGAGAATTTTTCCATGGTGAAATGGTAGCAAAATTGGGGAGCAGAAGTGGACAGATACTGGAAATGAAAAAACGAGATTCGAGAATCAAAAAATTAGAGGATATGTTTACTTATATGGTTCACAGTTTCGCAGGTTTACAGGGCTTGCTAGAATCGTTCTTCTATCGTTACGGGTCAGAGTTAGCCAACGTTCATTTTGATGATCCTATTGTAGAGTATTTCTGGGAAGATATTATTAAAGTTCAAATTCCACCTAAAAGAGCTATTACGTATTTGTTATCTAAGGATGAATTATTATTAAACAGAATCATGGAAGAAGTTCCTTTTCATTATATAGCATCTGTCTATTATGAACTTAAATCTAACGGGTATAATTTTTCTTGGCAACAAGCTTCTACCATAGCATTTTATATGTGGAAAAATGAAGGCAAGAATGATCCACAATTTATGAATGTAGCGGTGTGAATTTTTATAATAATGTCAGCTTCAGTGATTGTGGAATATCGAATGTTTAATGGAAAGAAATTTATATCCGGAGTTTTGCAGTACCTAATTTTTTTAATGTATTAATTTTTTCTAAGTTTGATGATAAATCTATTGTATTTTTTTACTTTTAAACACATTCACAATTTAAAAATCAATCGAAAACATATTTTTTATTATTATGAAAAAGATTCCAGCCGACTAATAAAATAAATGTAAAAAAATGATAGAGAAGCAAGGTTTCAAGGAGGAAATTTGCCGAGCCCTACTATCCAAGCATCTATCTTTTCTAAGTTTTCGCCTTTTATATTATCCCCACGGTAAAAGGCTTTTATTGTATCTTTCCCAATTACTCCCATCCCAAGTCTAAGAATATCAACCGATATAACAGCATAAAGAATAATTATTTGCACCCTTAATCCTATCAAAGATATCCGAAAATTGTTCTCTGATTACAGAAATGATATTTGCGAATCTTTGGCTCGAGCCTGCAATCAAAAAATGTTAGTCAAACTTCCTTAATACATAAAGCGTTGATTATCAAGAATTATTCTGTTTTATCTTACCAGAAGAACCGGAAGATGAATTGGTTGAAGAGCCTCGTGAATTAGTTTCAGATCCATTGGACACACTTTGTTGATCAAAATCGGGTCTTTGGATAACTGCATAACGTTGAGCCATATCATTTTGAAGAATTTCAATAGAAGTAGTGGCCGGTGTGAATTTTGACGAAATTTCACAAAAGTTATTATGATGTTGTTCTAGAATTTTTCGATCTCGTTAACTTTACTTGCGATGGTACCAAAATTTCATTCTTAATTTTGCCGATCTCTGCGGTGGATTTATCGTTAATTTCTGATGCACGTGAGGAAAGTTCATTGGCGACTTTAGTTCTCTACTAGTTCGAATTCAGCTTCAGTGATTTCGCTATTTATATCATTATACCTTTTAGCTTCTGGCTCTGGAATACCTAATAAAGGCTTTCTATGACTTCTGATTCATCATTGGGTGGACAAATCATGAAATTAAAGACAGTTTCATTTTTTGGATGAATAGCTTTTTTCACACGAACGTGTTCAGTTTCTTCAATAAATTTGGGCATCCCAACTATCTGCAAGAAAAATGATCGTTTATTTGCAATATTATCAATAATACCTTTTCCCTGCAACTCTTCTGGAAGTTTCTTACAGACAAGCTTAGTGAACATCATAACCTGAGTGATATTTTGGAGTCTCGTGTTGAAAGTTGAGACATGGAGAGATATTCTTTTCACATACCTACTTTTGGCAATAGTCATAGTTTTTTTATCCCATTTTGGGAATATTTCTAGACAAGTATCTCTAAAGGTGCAATAAAGTAAATTTTTCACCTGTTTGTCTGAAAGCTTAGGAGTGATAGTATTTAATTCGTGATCCGCCAGTGAACCATAAAACTTGGCTATTAAATTCCGGTGAAAGTTATATATATATTTACTAATAGCACGGAATCTACAGTTCCGCTAATGCAAGGTACAAATTACTAAAATATTATATGAAAACTAATATTATAGGCATAATAATATGCCATTTGGCTATCTTAATAATAAAAGACCGGTAAAAATTTTAAGCACCAAAAGACACTTTCATAAGAGCTGAAAATTTGAATTTGAAAAAAAAGAAAAATTTAGTATTTTAAAATTTTAAAGATAACTCATCATCTAGTGGTCGTATGAAAATAAAATTTGGTTTATCGGATTTGTCTCATTGAGACGCATCTAATGGTAATGATTTTATGTCTTTATGACCAATAGAAGGTGAGTTATCCCATATTTTTTCTCCAGAATCACAGATTCTAAATTATTGATAAAAATATATATGAACTTATCACCACCTTTTAATAGTCAAATTTTATGGTTCACTGGCAGATCACGAATTAATATTTCTACTGGCAAATCAAAATCTATAATAGGACGAAGTGGCTCATTCCCATCAATAAATTTGTGTAAGGAATGACCTTCACAATCTGAGAATAATATCAAATGGGAGGTAAATACATTTGCCAGTATTTTTCCAATTAAGGGAAGGTTTGTGGGTAGGGATGCAGACAACAAGAAGGGTATTATTTTCACCAGAAAAGACACCAGTGACCTCTATGCAAACATGAACATTGTATGGTGGCTTCTGAATATGGGTTATGTGATTGGCATATAAAAAAGTGCCATTTGAATACATATTAACACTGAAAGAAATTAGATAAGGTACTTTAAAATAGGTAGAAACTGAAAGTATTTGAATAGACTCTTAATAGAATCAGTTAAAATGCCTGATTCTATAAGTTAGTCCTAATTAGAATTCCAAATGGATCAGGTTAGGTCAGGTTATATCAGATTATCTGTTTGACCTGACCTGAACTAAAACCTGAAAATTTTTGGGATTTTTTAACAAAATATCAAAAAAAATGGTACAAACCATTTTTTTTAAAAAATTTTTTTATATTAAAATCATATAAAAAGGTGAATCACAATACTGCAACTAACTTTTTTATATTAATTTTATATATAAAAAGTGAATTCTAATACTGTAATTCACTTTTTATATATAGAATTAATATAATAAAAGTGAATTTTGATACTATAATTCACTTTTTATATATAGAATTAATATAAAAAAATGAATTCTGATATTGCAACTTACTTTTATTATATAAAATCAATATAAAAAAGTGAATCCTAATATCACAATTTACTTTTATTATATAAAATCAATAGTTTCAGATCATTCAAGTTATATTGATATTACAACCTAAACTGATAAATTCAAATCAACCTGTTTAGAACTTTAACTCTAATGACTTGTCAAAAATTTGGCTCTATATTCCATAAAATTTTTTATAGGAACGCAAAAAAAAATTTAACAAAAATGTTAAAAGTATTTTTTTTAATGATTTTAGAATTTTAAAAAGGCATTTTTATCATTTGTTTTTATAATCTTATGAGTCCCTATAAAATTTCAAGCTTTTTTACTTTTTTTTTATATTTTTGAAATCTGTTATTATGTTAATGGATTTTTGCCAAGAAAATTTTTTTTCTAGAATTTTTTTATTTTATAGGAACATATAGAGTCATAAGGATAAATAAAACTTTTCATGAGTTAGCTTACAAATTAAAAGTACTTTAAAAATATATTGGCTTGTGAACTAGACTTGCAAGCCAATATATTTTTAAAGTACTTTTGGCTTATAAACTGGCTCGTGAGGAGCTTTAGAAATAAATAGTAAAAAAAGAATTTCATTTACTTATAAGATAGGTCACTCTAAACTTAAAGTAAAAATCATATATAAATTCTTTGTAGATCCTATTATAAAAGGAAATTTTATGTTACATTGTTATGATTTTTTTTCTTTTTAGCTAATTAACCAATAGAATTTAAGAAAAAAGTAAGGTAAAAATCATTAGTAAAAGGCTAATTTTCTACAATGATCTTTATTATAAATAAGTGGGATTTTAGTAAAAAACTTAATAAATCAAGTTAAGTAATCTAAAAATAATATTAAGATTATTTTTATAAGTGTCCTTATAAATTTTTCTTATAAAGATAAAGAATTTTTATAGAAATATTCAAAAAATTAGTATACTCATTATCTTGACTCAGTTTAAACTATAATTGGATCTTAGAAGTACTTATAACATTCTACAATTATACTTTAAAACCTCAGAAACATCTCACTTTTGATGACAAATAGGTGATCAAAAGTAAAATTAAACTTAGTTAGCAATAATATGTAAGTACTAAAAGCAGTGTTGGGTTTTGGACTTGTCCAATTGGTTTTTTTAATTGGACAATTTTGGACTGTCCAAAACCAGTTTTGGACATAGTTTTGGACATAGTTTTGGACAGTTTAAAACTGCTCAAGAGTCTTAATATTTATTAACTGAAACTAAAAATAAAATGAAAATATAATGTTAAAATGTTAAAAAAGTAAATATTTAATATAATTAAATAATAAAAATTTATGTAAAATCAAAATAATATTAAAAATTAACATTTAAAGATTTTTGAAGTAATTTAATAATTGAACTAAAATTAAAATTAGCCAAAATTAGTCATAATTCTGGCCAAAATTAAATTTTTTGTCATGTGATCTGTCCAAAACCTGTCCAATGAAAAAAAGGTTTTGGTTTTGGACAAGTTTTGGACAGGTTTTGGACAAATGTCCAAAACGTCCAATTGTCCAATTGCCCAACACTGCTAAAAGAATTATCACTTACATTTTTTTTTGGTATTGAGATACTTAAAAATAATGAAAAGTAATAAAAAAGTAATGGAAAATTGCCTAAAGTTTAAAATGTAAAAAATTTTTACTTAATTTTGACCAGTACTATTCCATAATTTTAGTTAAAATTGAAATATAATAATTCAGCATTTAAGTTAACATAAAAGTGATATAAATCAATAGTAACTTTCTAGCTTTCCACTAGTTTTACACCAGTTTTTCATTAGTTTTATAATAGTTTCAAATCACTACCAGATCACTATCATAGTGTCAGCTTGAATCTTTAAAATTATATGTCCAAAAGATTAGTCTAAATTATATCATAGTGCTGGCCAAATTTGAGATATAATAATTATGATAATTCCAAATTTTTAGAAAACTTATTACCAATAGTAATAGATTTTATATTATATAATAATTTTAAATTCACTGTGGATTTTACAATACTTTTTGAAATTTTATTCTAAGAGATATTTTTTATCACAATTTAATATTTTAAAATAAATAAAGAAAAAACTATCTTTAATATCTTAACAGGTAATTAAAAAGATGCAGAAGAGCAGAAACTTTGATATAAAATTTAGAATTTAAATAGGTATAGATAGTCTGCACCTCCAATAAAAAACTTAGCAACCAATCAACCAAAGAATTTTACTAACACAAATTATATTAGAAAATATTTATTAATGTACAACATGTAATAAAAATAGACACATCCAAATTATTTAATCATAGTTGTATTTAGGTTATTTAATCACATGATCATAAATAATAAATAGGAAAAAGATAAAGAAAAGCAATTTTAAAGACAAAAAATATAATAGGAAAATAAGAAGATATAAAAAAATTGACATATATAAATTATTTAATTAGATTATTTTAAAATTATTATTTAATTATATTTAATTTATTTAATTATATCTAGTTTATTTGATATATCTAGTTTATTTAGTTACATTTAGATTATTTAATTATATTTAGATTATTTAATTATATTTAGATTATTTAATTATATTTAAGTTATTTTATTACTAAAAAACCTAATCCAAGCCAATTATAATTAAATAATATAATTATATTATTTAGTTATAATTGACTTCAATTTTAATAGATAAAAACTTAAATAATTTACAAAAAATATTGTAATAAATAATAAGTAAATAAATAAATACAGAAGTTATATGATATAAAAATTGTACTGTATAAATATAACTACTAAATATTAATTATATAACTACAGTATAAGTGTATAACTGATTATACAGTACAGTTATATAGTATGTATATTTAGTTTAGTTTTAAAGAAATTTGAAGAAAAAATTGAAGAAAGTTTAAAAGAAAAAAATATAAAAAAATGTTTTTAAAATATTTAACATATTTTAAATGATTTATAGGTTATTAAATTTTTATATTTTTTATTTCATCATCTTGACTCTTTATATAATTGGTATAGACTTTTTATAATAAAAAGAGAGAAAATTATTAAAAAAATTAAATTTATATTTATATATTAAAAATATTTCTTTTATAATCCAAAATTCCACTTAACAGTACATACATGAAGTCTATTTATTAGATAACAAGTAATTTAATAATTAATAATATTAGGCAATTCTTCTATTTGATCATATATATTATAAATATATATATATATTTTTTTTTATTAATTTATTATAAATGTGATCTTGTCTTAATATAACTATGCTTACTTACATAAAATAAGATAACAAATATATATAAGGACTAAGCATTATGAAACAAGACTACTTTCTAAAGAAAAAGTTGATCTGTCATCTAAATGATCATATCACTGTTAAAAATGATGATACAACCCAAATTCTCAGGTGACTGTCAAGATCTGCCTAAAAATTTGCCTAATGACTATTCCAATAGAATGTTAAATCATCCAATTAGTCTCATCATTAAAGTTTACTACATGAACGTTATTATTCTTACGTTTCTTATTATTCGACTTCATTTTTTTTCATTTTACTACTAATATTACATCTTTTCTCTTTTGCCACTTGTAACTCATTCCTATATTCCCAAATCAATATCTTAAAATCTAAAATTATTTTACTAATTATTAGTTTTAACATTTTTTCCAACACCTTTATATCTATTATTTTATATAACTTCAATAAATTAACCAATTGGTGACTCACTTGATTTTTTAATAAAAATGTAAAATTATATAAACTATTAAAATCCCACATATCTAATTCTTCAACTTTACATTCAATTTGATGTCTGTTTAAATCATTTTATAAAATTTCAAAAATTATATTCACTAAAAATAATTTAAATCCTTTAACTATATGCTGCACAATTTCTTGAATTTTATTACATCTTCATAAATATTCAATCATTTCTTTTTCTATACTACAAAAATTACATTTTCAACTTTCATTATAAATGTCCAGTTTCCGTTTTTTAAGATTTACATATGTTAGTAATTCATTACAACAGATTTTGATTCTAAATGATTGTAGAAAATAATTCTCAAATAATGTATTATGTTCATCAGGAAATTTGTTTAGGCGTAATTTAGTGTAATATTTCGAAGGTGGTGTAAAATTTCGAAATATTACACTAAAAACGTAATATTACAAAAGTTTACGCTCTTAAATTTGAATAATTATAGTAATTTAAGAATATCTCGCTATCTACTGATCCAATCAAGACGATCTATAGCTCATTGGAATCAGCTCATCAAGACGAATCGAATGGTAGTAAAATCGTATCTTTACGTTTGATAGATGATTTTCTATTAATTTAAAACTTTACTGCATACTATAGAGCGTTCTATCAACTGTAGAAATGCGATTTTACTACCATTCGATCCGTCTTGATGAGCTGATTCCAATGAGCTATAGATCGTCTTGATTGGATCAGTAGATAGCGAGATATTCTTAAATTACTATAATTATTCAAATTTAAGAGAGTAAACTTTTATAATATTACGTTTTTAGTGTAATATTTCAAAATTTTACACCACCTTCGAAATATTACACTAAATTACGCCTAAACAAATTTCCTGATGTTGATCTATACAATTTAGGCCGTTCCAATTTAATCTTTAGTTTAACGTCCTCCCCCCTCTCTATTTTTGAAAAATTCAAGAGTGATTTAAACATATATGTTTGATA